TGATGATGATGATGATGAGCTTTTGCATGCACTGCATATTTATTAAGAAGAATAGTTATACAAGTGGATTTCTTATGCTAGCGTGTGTTTTTTCTTTCAGATGAACACAGACCAATTGTCCACCCTTTCACGTGTCCAAAGAACAGATTTCACGTGACAAGTTTGGATTTTCGAATGTTGCCGAGCTTAGCGACCATCATACTTGATCTGATGTTTTATTCAAAGTAAACTTCTACTTCCTTCGACTAATCTTTTAAACCTAATGTTTTTATGTTGTACTGTATCAACATTTCCAGGACGTTAGTTTACATACTATAAATTGAATTAAAAGTTGTTGGCAAGCTGAGCTACTTAGTTTAATATCAATAAGACATTGTGAATTCAAACTCAGTATTTTCCTCTTAGGAAATAGAATGAAATTCTGTGCCATTAAGATTGAGTTTTTGTTTCTCTGCCAGTTTCTGTACAATAATTTATTTGTTTTTAATTTTTCTTCATAAGAAAAACTGATCACTTTAAGACAAGAGACCCCACATGCATGCTTAGCACACTGGTGAACAGTTTCAATCCCTTTTGTAGGACACCAGTTGATGAGCATTACGAGCCATTTTTCCATATTTCCATTGTGGAAGGAGACATTTCTTTAGTGTTGGACAGTGAGGCTTTGTCAAGGTGAAAACACTTGCTATGTATAATGTGCCTACGTGTAGAAATATAAGCCAACATTCAAAGGGTCACAGCTGTATCCAGCTTTCTGCATTATTGCATATCTCAATTGTGTGTTTCCCATATTATTGCAAATGAGTTCACTCAGATGGGTTTACTCAATATTATGAAAAAAATGACAGAATTGCTTATTTCCAAAACAACAGATTTCCTGAAGGCTCTCTTTACACAAACACCAATGACGAAGGATGGAAAATGATTCGTGTTGGAGATGCTCCCCTTGGGTTTGGTTAGTGCTTGTTAAAAATTGAATGCTAACTTTTAAGAAAACATATTTTCAAAATACAATTGATTACAAAAAGAAACAAAAGTAAACTACAACATTTCGAAGTCATCTTCACTGCATTATCAAGTAGATAAAAGAAAATAACATTTAACTGTGGACACCTAGTAAGGACTCCTAATTAGACTGTATTACAATTAAATATATTCTTACACCTTGGACACTATAAATTAACTTTCTCTGCTTGATACTGGAGTCAAAATGACTTCGAAACATCATAGTTTACTTTCACTTCTTTTTGAAATCACTGTTAAATTAGTTTTAAAAAAATAAAGTAAATAAGTAATCAGAAGATCAGTGAACTGAGTGGATAGATAGAGAGTCAGCCCTACATGCTGCTTGGCTAGCTGGTTGACCAGCTTGCCAGCTGACCGTGTTGTTTCAATGTCTGCTACTGAATGGAATAGAATTTTGAAACATTTTGTGTGATTACATGCATGTATAGACACTTGGGAAACCTGCAGCACTTGGAAAACTTGTCTCCCACTAAACAGACGCTTTGCCTAAATGGTGCCTAAATTTGAATAACAATACTTTATACATCCTTAGCCTCGTACTGCTGTTTCCAGACAAAGGATTTTTCACATGAATGCAAGACTTAGGATGTATAAGTACTGTTATTCAAATTTAGGCACCATTTTTCCATAGGGTCTATAGCATTAAACCTTTGCAAAATATCCAGTCTTGTTTCTTTGTGTTGTTACATAAACTACAGTGTTTGCTTACTAAAGTCTGTCTTCTACTTCTTCTTGATTTAACTGTTCTTACTAGAGAATTAAACAACTCCTGCTGTCCTCTGTGATGCACTGTTTACCTTTGCACTGTTTTTGTTTTGTCATAAATCATGTAGAGAATTTATTAGATAACTGTTACTTAATGCTCTTTGAATGCCTAATATTAAATTAAAAAATTAAAAGTAATTGCATCATAGTTTTGTTTGCTTCTATCTACTTGTTGTGTGTTGTGTAGATGAAACTGGTGTTGCTGCTCAGATCGCAGAACCCTTAGCAGATGTACTTATGTCCACTTATTACATCAGTACTTATGGCCTCGGTCATACACTGGTATGTATAGACCTGCAAGTCAGATAAGTGCTGTGGAAAAACCAATGCAAGCTACCTTTAACTTCTTTTGGTAACAAGTCGCTAGCAAATACTTATTACAAAATACCACTGAATTTTTATGATTCCAGCAGTCAACCTCAAAAACGTTTAGCTGGTCATATGACTCTTTTTGGTTCACAGTTTCACACTGGCTTCTGTTGTGACAGTTAACTCTGTCTTAAGTCCCACATGACACATGAGAAATAACAGAGTTGTGAGTTGTTGCCATCAAAAGTATTTAAAGGTAGAGCTGATGTGTTTTCCACAGTCACTTTTTATTTCCGTGAATTAATTTCAAGCCATTTGTGTATTGTTTTTAGAGGAGAGTGGCATAGTTGCGCAGTTATCTGAACCTCTAACTGACGCTTTGTGTAGCTCTTTTTACATCTGCACTTTCCTTTATGATCATCTGTTGGTATGTACTCTTGATTATCAACAAGTCATTAATTACATGTATGAAATAAGTTTTAATATCTTATGGTTAGCATTGCTTTCAACGCTGCATGCATGACTTTGTCACTTTTGTGAAATAATTATCTCAATCATGACTGACAAAAACAACTACAATAATCTTTCTTTTCCTTCATTTTAATATAGATTCAGTTTCTAATTGACAAATTAGTAACTGTGGCTACTTTTATTGCCTAAGTATATATAATACAGTTACTTGGAAATTTCTAATGAGCTTGTACCCCCTGCAACTGATGCCCCCTTTAGAATTTTTCATCAACTTTTTAACGATGCCATCCCCCTGCCATCTTTTCTTTATGTATCTATCAATATATGCTGATAGGATTATCTGCTCATTGCCAGTTTATAGATACATGCTATTAAACAGAAAAAAGCACTAGAAAACTCTTACTGATATTTGCAGTTGCATATCTACACAAATAATATTTGTGGTAGGTGTTTGAAGTAACCCACCTTCTCCATGAACCCTCTACTCCCTTGCTTTCTCTCTCCCATCCCTCATCCTTAAATAAATGTAGTACTGCTTCATTTCCATTTTCTCACATTTTAACCTTGATTGAGAGACTTCTGCACCACCTACTTTTTGCCCTCAATTTCATGCACCTTCCATGCTTCCCTGCCTCTGGCTCCCAGAAAAGATGCTTGTCTCCCCTTCCTGCAATGTCTCAAATTTACTGTCTACTATCCCTACAATATCTTACATACTGTCATGATTTCTTGAGCACTGTCTTTGAGGCGCAAACAAAGAGCTCATGACAATATTGTAATGTATCAACATCCAATTTCTCCCTAGAGCATTAATGCAACAAAAAGATGATGGGAATAAGGAGACTTAGTAATCAGGGGATATCATCTTTCTTTTCGGTTTGTACATTATGGGAGGTGTACTGGTCTTATGGTTAGTGGGCTAAGCTGGGCTTTAGATTGACCATTGTGCATTTGAACCTGGCCACAGTTATTGTGTTGTGTTCTTGGGTGAGAGGAATAACTCTCACAGCTTCTCCCTCCGTGCAGTGTGCAACTCTGCAATGGGCCAGTATTCAGGTGGATGGGGAGGAGAAATGCTCCAGGTCATTTCATGCTACAGAAACTGGAGATAAATGCTGGTCTGATGGGGTGCAGTGGAAATGGCCAAATTCGCAGATCAATGTTAAAAGAAATAATTTTTGTTTAATAACACAGTAAGTATGGAAATCCAATAAATCTTTGTTTCTTTCAGGTGCCTGAAAATGAGATTGACAAGGCAATAGAGCTGCTGAATTCTTTACGAGTAACATAGAATCGGCCAGAAATTTGCTGCAATTCATAAAGCTTAATTTCTCAGATTAAATTACTTTTATTAGTTACATCATTCTATTTTGAAAAATGTACATTATTGACCTTACAGTTATAATTATTGTTTCTATTGTTATTATATGCAAGATGGTAATAATTATTTAGTTTTTGAGGCATATTATTTTGGAAGATTGTGCAATTTACCATAATTTGTGTACATTTTGTACAGTATGTTGAAGTTTTAGTCTGATTCATTCAGATATTTTCAATTCGTCAAGCATTAAAGAAGCAATTCTCATTTGTTAATCATTTTATTGTACTTAGAAATATTTGAGTTAGTCCTCTTTGCAGTGATAATTATTATTAGATTTTCAATTTTTTTACTTATCTTTACATCTTCGACCACAAAATTTAATAGTTATTTATTATATGGAGAAGAGTGTTTTACTGGGAACTAAACCACTCGTAGATTCCATACGCCACTTCATCCGGGACCCGAGTGGCGTATTTTCCGTAT